GATGTATATTAATTAGATATAAATTGGATGTCAATTAGCTATAAATAAGATAAGTTAAATTTTAGCTGATTCTTAGCTGATTTCTAATATATACCAATCAGATGTAAATTGTTATAAATAAGATAGGTCAAATTTTAGTCTATTTTGATATATACTAACAGATTATAGATGAGGAATGAAATCTCTTAATAACAGTCAAAACTTAAACAAAACTATATTAAAATCATAATAAGGAATATGACGAAATTCATTCAATATGATAAAAGCTGAAACTGTCAAAATTATATTAAAAATATAGAAAAGGATATAACGAAATTATTTTGAGAAGTTTTTGGTAGGCATCTATACAACAGATGTAATTAGACATTAATTGGCTATAAATAAGATAGGTTGAATTTTAGCTGATTCTTGACTGATTTTTAATGTATGCCAATTGGATGTAAATCAGCTATAAATAAGATAGGTTAAATTTTAGCTGATTTTTAACATATACCAATTAGCTATAAATTAGATATGTCAAATTTTAGCTGATTCTTAGTCAATTTCTAATGTATGCCAATCGGCTAAGTTGATTTTTTGATAATTTACCAATTCTAGACCAATTTTAGGCCAAATTTTCACATGTCTGATTTTTTTAATTTCAACCAGTATTAAATACTGATGTTTTACTGATAATTTCACTAAATAAAATTAATTAATTTTGTCAAATAAAATAGATAAATTATTAATTAAATATTGATTTTTTTATTGAGTAATTTTGTGATATATTATTAATTAAAAAATTGAATATTTACTGATAATTTTACTATATAAAATAAATAATATAAAAATATAAATATAATTTAGTACAAAACTTTAAAATAAGATCTACCATTTTATTCTTGAGATGCAATAATTCTAACTACTATTTTACCTTTAATACTCTTGATTTTTTTACTAGATTTTATATTCTGAATCTTTGTTAATATTCATTTTTCTCTTTTTTACCTTTGCTATTACTTTTACCCTTTTCTCTTTCTATTAAAAAAATATATTAATATAAAAATAATAAGAAATAAATTATATTATTAGTCTAGAATAAAATGAAAGATTATATATATACAAGTCTAAAGTTATATAAAGTATCCTATTATCTGCTTACTTAATAATTGAGTTAATGCAGATTAGCTCTTGCAATTATATAAAAGTTTAGATTAGAATTTCTATTTGAAATACAAATTTTATTTCAAATATTTGAAAGTTTTTAAAATAATTTCAAAGTAATTTCATTTGAAAAGAATATATAAAAAAATAAAATATGAAAAAAATAAAAAATAAAAAAAATAATATCAAAAAATTTAAAAAAGAAGAATTGATCAAAGAAAAAAAATATTAAATTAAAAAAAAATAAAAATTGATTGATAATATTATAACTGAAAATTGATTTTCATCTAAAGTTGAAATTTAAATGTTTTAAAATATCTGAAATTAAGATTTAAAAATCAGTTAACTGAAATTGAAATTCTAATTTTAGTCATGATCTTATTGGCCAATTTTTATGTAACTTTTAATTTCAGTTAAAATTTAATTTCAGATACAGAGTTATCTGAAATTGAGATATTTGAAATTGAACTTCAGACAGAATTTGAATTTTAGATACAAGGTCATCTAAAATTAAAATATTTAAAATTGAACATCAGATAAAATCTGAATTTTAGACACAAGACTGTTTGAATTAAGATATCTAAAATTAAACTTTAGACAGAATTTGAATTTCAGATATGAGGCCGTTTGAAATTAAGATATTTAAAATTGAACTTCAGATAAAATCTGAATTTCATACAAATTATATATTTATAAATTAAAATTAAAGTAATCTACATGTACTATATATAAGCAATTTATTTTAATTAATAAAATTTTATGATTTTTAACTGTTTTTTATTTATTTTTTTTACTACTCTATTATATAATAAATGATTCCTTTTCTTTATAATTAAAATTTATAAAAAGTTAAGTAATTTTATTTTAAAATTTACTTTTTAGCTTTAAAATAGTAAATTATACAGGTAACTTATAAAGGTAGAAGTTTATTTCTGCTGAATTAAAGGAATTAAAAAAATAAGTTTTTAATATGTTCTTATAATGAAATAATTATTTTTGCTTTTTTTCAGATTAGATTATTTTGGTCTGAAGTTTAAAAAAAAATCTAAAAAAATAGAGGAAAATAAAAATGAATAAATTATTTATTTAACTGATATAGCATCTGATGTGGTTGAAAAAACCTGCATAAAAATAAAATAAAAATAAAATAAAACTAAAAATAAAATAAAAATAAAAATAAAAAATAAATTTAAAAAAAGGATTTATTTATTTACAAAAAAACTGAATATAAATAAAATTAAAATTAAAAAAAATTAAAATAAAATGAAATAAAAAGAAAAAAAAATTAAAAAAAAGAAAGAAAAAGATTAAGTAGCAATCAGAATGTAAACAAAAATCCTAAAAAAAAAAAATAAAAAAATAATAATAAATAATAAAAGAAAAATATTTAATAAATAAATGCCATAAAATTAAATTATAATTCAGCTAATAGCTAAAAGTTAACTATATTTACAAAATTGTAAAAAAAAATTTTGGCATATTATGATTAGTTAAAATAGTTTTTTTATAAATTGTCTAAAGTTAGAATTCAGATAACAAAAAGAGTATCTGAAATTGAAGTTTCAATTTTAGTTAACTGAAATTGAAATTTCAATTTCAGATACTCAGGAATTGTTTATATTCTAACTTTAGACAAAAGTCAATTTCAGTCATAAAATCTGAATCATTTTGATATTCAAATATTAATTATGTATTTTTGAATTTAAATTTTATTTATTATAAACAAATATTTGAATATATTATTTTCAAATAGAAACTCTAGTCTGGATAAAGTTTTAGATTTAACAACAGTCTTTATTTTTCTAATATATTTTTTTTATTAACTTTTATAAACGAATAGTTTGTAATGTAAAATTTGTTATAAAAAACATATGTGTGTAAAAAAAAAAAATTTTAAATTCTGTTTTTATAGCTACTTTTAAAGGAAATATCATAAAAAGAAGAATAAGCTGAATTGTTACTTTTAATTATTTAGTAAAGTAGAGTTGAACTATATAATTTTATGTTTATTTCAATTTTGTATACATGATCATTATTGATACAGTGAGATAATAAAAAAAATATTGGAAATGAGATTTCTGCAACTTTGAGTTTATTTTCATTAGTTGCATAAAAACTTTAACACTTAACTATATTTTATTTTAATTGTTCTTAAATATGCTAAATCAATTTAAGGAATATTGTTGTGATATTTTAATATAAATCATAATAAAAATTAAGAAAAGAAACATAAAAGCACACATTGCGTAATGCATAATAAGTTTTATACTTAAGATAATAGTTGCTTAATATTATTTTAAGAAATCAAACTTTCTTTTACATAAGCTTATAAACATTTTTAACAGGATCATATAGTTTAGAAAAGTATAAGAACCTGCTTGTATACAAAGCTTTAGGATAGATTTTTTGTTGAGGTCTATTTTTTTCAAATTTGAATACCTTCTGAGATCCAAATTTTCAAATGGATTAGAAACATCAATAGCATTTATTCAAGTATATAGCGCATTATATAATTCAGATGTAGTCAGTTGACTTGAAGAATCAAAATTTAAGCAATGCGTCATTAGTTGAGTATAAACGATAGGAGTCCCATCAATAATTTTAAGATGAAGACTGAAACAAATTTCACTGGCCAATTTAAAATCATGTGATCTATTATGCCAGAGGTATACCCCTGCAGAAAGTGTTCACATGACCATTCTATTACTATAAATATCTGGTGCAATATAAGAAAAACTTCATATATTTCATTTGAAAGTTTCTTATCAATTGAAAATGGTTCAATATCTATCAAAAAAATCATGTTTATCTTCAATTAATATATTTCCTCCATAAAGATTTTCATGAATTAATCCATTTTCATGGTAATGTACAATTCTTCCAGAGATACTTCAAAAAATTTCAGCCATATCTCTCCAACAAAGCTTTTCATGAGTTTCATCAAGGTGAATATAAGTCTCTATTTTCATAATATTCATAATATTTCATGACAAACATGTAATGAGAAGTATAATCTTTAGTTATTCCAAAAATCTGCAACACTTCTACCATGTAAACAATGATGATATTTATAAAGCTTCATTAAAAATTTATAGAACAAATCGTTATTAATATGAAAATCCTTTTGAAGGTTTAAACAATAATAACAACTAAACATAACTTGCTTCAAATGATCTTCACTTACATTTTGCGAATTATTAAGTCTCTTCAGAGCAACCTTTGTAGGTCCATTTCGTGTCCATTGTTCAGCATCTTTATCCCAAGTCCAACGTGGACCTTCCATCCAAGTTGCCGAATAAATTGTGCTAAAATTCTCACCTTTTTTATGTTTTCCACAAATTCAAACTGTTCGAAATCAATATATACCAAATAATCTACATTCTCTGACGCATTTAATTGAGTATATTATCAACAATAAGATTACCACTTTTCCAATTGCTAAAATTTTCTTTAAAGGCGTTGCTTTCATAATCTTTACACCATCCATCACCAATTCTATCTTTTCCACAATCAAAGCACTTTCTAAAATCCAAATTATCATTCATTCTTGGCGAATTTTTAATCTGTGGATTTTATAAAAAAGGTCAGCCTTCCGGATGAGGATGAGGAGGATGAGAGGGGATGGAAAAAGGGAGGGGAGTATGTTGATCGTGATGGCGGTGGTGATAGCGAAAGTAGTTGAGCTGGAGCTGGAGATGTGGAGATATGGTAAAGAAAAAATTTCAATACAAAAAAAAATTTACAATTTTTTATTATGTAGTATTTTTAATGCGTCGAGAGAACTATAATTCGTAAAGATTCAATAAATGTAATATGATATTCTTCGTACGAAAATATTTTCCCCCTTATTTTAATTTATGAAGAACAAAGAAGAAGAATACTATAATGACTATGGGTTTATTCAATTGAGAACGAACTTATTTTTTTTATCTGAACAAGTAAATTCAATTGAGATTAGGAGTTCTGCCTCTATATAACACATTTTTTGTCGTTTTTGTCATTTTTTTGTTTTTTATAAAAGGTTGCAACTACTGCGCGTCACAAATTCTGCGTTGCTGGTCATGTGTGTTTCACAAAAATTGAAAATTAAAAAAATTATTGATTTTATTATAAGTCCCTGTTATATTTCGGACTACAGTAGAACGGTTACCGTTTCCTAGTCTATAAAATAATTTTGTTGTATTTATGGTAAACCATTGGTTAAAAATTTTTTTCACACTGTAAATCATATGACCCGTAACGTGATTTTAATAGCAAACCTCCTAGTATCTGTGAAAAATCAACTTTTAGATGTTTTGGAGATGATAATAGTCCATGCAGAATATATATGCATAAACACAACGGCCAATTCAATAATAACAAAAGGTTACGAATTTCTAGTTTGTGGAAGCACTATCTTAATTCAACTGAAATGTAAAATTTATAATGTAATTCCTTTTCTTTAAAAAAAAAAATTATTAATCGTCTGAATAAATAAATTCTCCAATTACCGAATATAATCAGTTTTTTTTTTTATCTTAGTTTTTTGAAAACGTTATATAAAGGCTAAATTCTATATCTAGTTTTATATCAGCCTTTCAGAATAAAAAATAACCTCGCTTATTTTTATTCGAACGATTATATATATTGTGTGAGTAAATTTTCAAATGACTTTGGTCATTTATCACTAAATTAATAATGGAAAATCTGCCTTTTTTAATGCTTTTATTGTGGAAACGAACTAACGCATGTTCCCTTACGCTCTTGTTATCGTTATGTTAGTTCATTAAAGAAAATTGGTAAGATTACTATAGGTTATCAGTCTGGTCGACCACGAAAATTGACTCCTAAAAAATGCTGCCAAATTGGAATAATCATCAAGCATAATCATTTCACTACAGCAAATGAAATGAAAGTATAACTTAAAGAAAAAAATCCAGAGCTTGAAGTTAGTGAACAGACCATTTATCGTGAGCTAAAAATCTTGAATTTGTATCTGTTCGTCCCAAAAAAGTTCCTCTTTTGACACAGAAAGCAAAAGAAAACTGGTTGTCTTGAGCCTGTGATCACATAAATTATAATTGGAAAAGGGTGGTATTTTCTGATGAAACTACACTTCAAATATTCTGTAATACTCTTTCAGCATAATCACGTAATAAAATCCTATTGCTCTGATAGTAAAATACTCATTTAAAGTTCATGTTTAGGGTGCAATCAGCGTTAAGAGAAAAATTAGCATATACATGTTTACTGAAAATTTGGATTGTCATTTATACCATCAAATTTTGAATGAACATTTATATAATAATGCAAGTGCAATATATGATAATCGATAGGTCTTTCAGCAAAATAATGACCTGAAACATACTTCCTGTGATGTTTAAGGTGACTTGAAAACTCATCTTCTGGGTCAGGTTCTTTTTTGACCTTCCTATAGCCCTGACCTTAATCCTATTGAGAATGTTTAGGCTATTTTAAAGAAAAATGTTGAAAAAGAAGTCAAGAGAATGGTGGCATAAAGGAAAAAAATCTCAAAAGAAATTTTTTTAAATTTAATTAGGAAGGAATGGGATGATATTGAAAACATCGCAATAGTTAACTGCATTATTAGTATGTCAAGTCACATTAAAGCATGTATTGACGCAGAAGGAGGCTATACCAAATATTAATTAATTAATAAAATATATGTAATTTTGGTCAGTTTTTCAAAAAATAAAAATTTTTTTGATTTTTATTATAAAATTGCGTACAAATTATTAAAAAACTGAGTGCTATTACTTTTGCCAGGGTCTGTATTTATAAAATTAATTTAAAAAATTTTAATTTTTTATAAAAATTAAATCATAAGAAAATTTATAGTAAATAGATAATTTACTTATAAATCTCTATATTTTAAAAGATAAGTTTTATTATAATAAATTATATTTTAATACAGTTAACTCTTGATATAGTTAGAGTTCTAAATGAGTCGAGTCAAGTCAAGTTTAAAGATTAACTTTATTCAACTCGCTTTTTTCAAGTTAAGTCGAGTCAAATTTATTTTACAGTAACGGTCATAAGTATCCAACCCCTCATAATTCTTAAAGTTAATTAATAATATCTATTAAATTTTTTTTAAAATTTAAGT